AAGTTTTTTTTTTTGTTTTTTTTTTATTTTTATTTTTTTAAAATTGCTAGCAGTTTAAAAATTACAACAACCGATAACTGAGCCAGAGTTGACGTTTTCTATGTACGTTTGAATTATTTATATGTCGTGGTCATTAAATTGAATAAACTTAACCAATAAGAATAAGTCTACACAAAATTGGCGGAATCTTCCTTTTGGGGCTTGCTTTTTCGCACTAATCTGGTGGATTTTGCTAGGACAGTGATTCTGGACCATAAGCACATGTAACTTCAAAATAAATACGGCACCTTCCTCTGTAGCGTGAAAAAATATTTTTTCTAGTGGTAGCAAAAGTAATGCATTGATATTTAACTAAATTGGAATTTTAGAAAACTTGTGCACCACTACAACTTTAAATATTATAGTTATTAATTTCTTAAATATCTCTTAATGCAGGATAGTACCAGTTAATACAGGATTAAAAAATAATAATTTAAGCATAAGTTAAATTTAAAATATTTAATTTAAAATTAAATGAACGAAAATAAATTTCGAAGTAAAAGTTGAATTTTAAAAAATAGAAAACGAAATGATATTTTCAAAATAAAGCAATCATTTAATTAAGAATCAAAAATTTTCAATTTTTTGCTAGCCTTTGTTTGACAAAAACTTATTTTATTTTTGTTGGAAGAAAGTAATGAAATTTATTTTATTTTAATTCATTTAAAATATGTCATTGTTGTCACATGTATTTTAATTCATTTTAAATATTTCTACAATAAAAAAATTTAAAATAAAAATAATAAACCAACACGTAAAAAATTAATTTTTAAATTGTTATCATTTAGTAACGTGAATAACTTCAGATTACTTTAAAACAATTATTTATTTGAAGAGAAATTTTTTTTTACAAATTTTCATTTGCGTGAATAAATTTGAAAAAAAATCTTAAATTTAAAAATTATAAGTCAGAAAAAAAATCTAATTGTTATCAATTGATACAGAACTTAAAATTACTTTAAATCGAACTTTTAAAATAATTATTTATTATAAAATTTTTTATTAAGTTTTAAAAACAACAAATTTTAGGTGGTTGAAAAAATCGATGTAGCTTTTTTTATAATTAAATGCGAAGTTTAGAATCAAAATGAAATTTGTTTTACAATCAGAATTCATAAGCAGTATTATTATTATTTGATAAAAATTATTAATATAAAAAAAGATTATTTTTTAAATTGTTATCATTTAGTAACGTGAATAACTTCAGATTACTTTAAAACAATTATTTATTTGAAAAGAAAATTTTATTTAAAAAAAAAATTTTTTTTTTTACAAATATTTAGTTGCATGAATAAGTTTGAAACAAAAATCTTAAATTTAAAAATCATAACTTAAAAAAAAAAAAAAACATTATCAATTGATTCTGAACATCAAATTACTTTAAACCGAACTCTTAAAGTAATTATTTATTATAAAAAAAATTTAATTAAGTTTTAAAAACAGCAAATTTTAGGTGGTTGAAAAAATCTAGGTAGCTTTTCCTATAATCCAATGCGAAGTTTAGAAGCAAAATAAAGTTTGTTTTACAATCAGAATTCATAAACATTACTATTATTTGAAAAAATATATTAATATAAAAATAAAGAGAGAGAGAGAAACAATAATTTTAATCTTTGCTGGAAAGCAATTTATTAAAATAATTTTTTTGTTTTAATTTTAAATATCTCAATAATTGTTAAAAAAAAAAAACTGTTATCAATTGATACGGAACATCAAGTTACTTTATACCGAACTTTTAAAATAATTATTTATTATAAATAAATTTAATTAAGTTTTAAAAACAACAAATTTTAGGTGCTGGAAAAAATCTATGCAGCTTTTTTTTATAATCTAATGCGAAGTTTGGAAGCAAAATAAAATTTGTTTTACGATCAGAATTCATAAACAGTATTATTATTTGATAAAAATTATTAATATAAAAAAAGAGAGAGCGAAACAATAATTTTAATCTTTGCTAAAAAATATTTTATCAAAAAAACTTTTTTTTTTAAATTTTAAATAACTCAATAATTGTTTAAAAAAAAATTATCAATTGATAAAGAACACCAAATTACTTTAAACCGAACTTTCAAAATAATTATTTATCATAAAAAAAATTAATTAAGTTTTAAAAACAAAAAATTTTAGATGGTTGAAAAAATATCTATGTCGCTTTTTTTTATAGTCCAATGCAAAGTTTGGAAGCAAAATAAAATTTGTTTTACAATCAGAATTCATAAACATTATTATTATTTGATGAAAATTATTAATTTAAAATAGGAGAGAGAAACAATAATTTTGATATTTGCTAAAAAAAAATTTTATTAAAATAATTTTTTTTAAAATTTTAATTAACTCAATAATCGTATAAATAAGTATTTGCTCGAAAATTTGGTTGGAGAAAAAGCACAACACATTTGTTTATGTATCCATGGGAAAGTATATCTTTGATGAGAAGCACCGCGAAGTTTGTTTTACAATCAGAATTCTTAAACATTATTATTATATGAAAAAAAATTATCAATATAAAAAAGAGAGAGAAACAATAATTTTAATCTTTGCAAAAAAAAAATTTAGTAAAATAATTTTTTTAAAATTTCAAATAACTCAAGAATCATATAAATAAGTACTTACGCGAAAATTTGGATGGAGAAAAAGCACAACAAATTTGTTTATGTATCCATGGGTAAGTATATCTTTGATGAGAAACACCGCGAAGTTTGTTTTACAATCAGAATTCATAAACATTACTATTATTTAATAAAAATTATTAATATAAAGAAAAAGAGAGAGAGAGAAACAATAATTTTGATATTTGCTAAAAAAAATTTTATTGAAATAATTTTTTTTTAAATTTTAATTAACTCAATAATTGTATAAATAAGTACCTGCTCGAAAATTTGGTTGGAGAAAAAGCACAACACATTTGTTTATGTATCCATGGGAAAGTATATTTTATTTTTATTTTTTTAAAATTGCNTTAACAATTATTTTATTATTTTTAATGATTTTATTAAATAACAGTCAAAAATATTGAACTCTCAGAACGCAAATTTTTACACCATTTTAAACTGTGTAATTTTTTTTAAGACAAAATACGAAATAAATTGTTCGAATAATTCTTGAAAAATGAGAGACAGAAAATACGATTTCTTTTTTTCTCAATTTTTCTCCCCCAATCAAAAACTATTCCACATTTTCGTTCAAATTTTGTATATTATCATTTTAAATGACATAGTTTAAAATGTTTAGAAATGTATATACCTTATGCTTACACCTTAAACAATTTTCGTCCACTATTAAAAAGAAAATTATAAATTATAATTACTTTAAAATTTGATTGAAATTTTTTTATATTTTTTACTTGAAATTGTTTTTGGAGAGACGAATTTTATAAACGTGTGCAACAATTTTTCGATTCGATAAAAAAAAACTTTCCATGGTCGTTCGAAATACGCAAAAAATGAAATTAGCATCGAAGGACTCAAATTTTCGACCGCTCTCCTAACTACAGGCGCTACAGTCTAGATATATATATTCCAGATTTCAGTTACCCCCAGAATTTTGTTAGACAAGAATTCGAATCAGTCACAAAATAAATAAATAAAGTATGTTTATAGAGAAAAAGTACCTTTGTGTCTGATTTCGTTAACCAAAATATCACCCGTACTATTTAATTTTATTTTATAATCGTCGTTGAACCGCCGACCCAGTTTTGGGTTTACAGCTACTTATGTTTAACTCCATAGCCTTGTAATTTTGAACCCAATCCAGAAGACATGGGAACTCCTGATTCAAATATAAGGAGAAATTTGTCTGCGTGGAGGATCTTTTGGTGGAACTAACTCGCGTTTGCGTTACATGGAGAGGAAAACCACGAAAACCTCCAAAGGTTAGCCTGACAGTAAGAAAAGAAAATTATAACTCTAACCTATGATCCGTCTACCACTAAGGATAGCTTACGTCAGCACTGTGGTGTGTGTGCGAGCCAGGTGCGAAATTCGTATC